AGCCGGGGGAGAGCAGCGGCGGGGCTGGGGGCGGGGGCGCGCGGCGGGAGGGGGCGGGGCTCCGCCCGCGGCGGGAGGGGCGGGGCTTGTCAATAACAAGGGAGGGGTGGGGCTTCGCGCCCCAACCGGGTCTGCCCGCCCTTCGCTGGGCGGAAAAGGGGGGAAGCTGGCTTCCAGCCCCCGTGGACGCGCGAAAAGTGGGCAGCCTTGAGGCCTGGCCTGCGACTCCTGCACCTTGTGAATGAATCCTCCACCAGTCTTCATGTGGGCCCGCCTCAGTTCTCTCTTACAGCTCCCAGCTGATGTAGACAGCAGTACCCCCAGACTCTGAGGTTTCTTGCTCTTGGTTCCTTCTACCCTTCTCTAAATCTCCTAACTGGAAAATCTAGGGAGATAAACTGTTACCTTGGGAGTCGCATCTATCTCCTCTTATCTGCCTGCTCTCACTGGATATAATTTTGAACACACATTGCTTCCCAAACCAGGCGAATATATCGTATATCACATATAAATCAACTCCCTGGAGACACTTATCTTTCGAATACCTTTTCCACATATACTCTCCTTACATGAGAACAGCTTTCTCATAAATTCTCCCAATCTCATATACACACACACACACACACACACACAACCTGTAAGGTCACCCACCCTGAGCCCTACTCAATCCTGGCTGCAGAGCGCATTTTTAGAAATCCCTTCAAGTCATACACCGGATTTCATTGTCAATCAGATTAGTGACAGAATAGAAACAGACAAGTCAATAAATCAAGTCTAGAAACACTTCCAATGTTGTCTATCACAAAGCCCTTATCCTTCTGAGGCTTGATGCAAGAATGCTAAGCATTTTTTGTCTTAGAAATAAAGCCAATTCCTCCTCACAGAAATGTTGTAGCCCTGAAGCCAACCCTAAGCTTTGCTTTTGGCTGCTTTAGCTCTGCTGGAGAGGTAATGCCTCTGGCAGGCTCACCCCATCATTGCCAGTGGGCACTGTCCCAAGACAGCCCCCACTCCTCTACTTTCAGATGTTATTTGTCCTCTGAGGGAGAAAAGAGCCAGTGGAGCCCATGCTGGAGAGGATCCCAAAAGAAAGCACAGTTCAGAACTAGAGGACTAGGGAACAGTGTGAAGGAACCCCTAGGGTTCCTAAGACCTCAGATTTCAAAACTGTTTCTTAAGTTTCTGCTTTTTGGTAATTCAATCTACCAATACTACACCTACTATCATCTGACAACGGTGTACATTTAGAAAGTTATTTCGGATGTTAATGTAAATGTGAGTCTTCTCAAATTGCAGGTTATGATTCATATGTTTGGCTGGGGAACTCATGTACTATAATTCTAATGAGTGATGTCCCTCATCCACATTTTGAGTTGTTGTGCCATCAAGTCAGCTATGGCACAGTGACCCTATGAACAGACCTAAACGTTGCCGTATCCTGAACCATCCTCAGTCTCTGATATGTTCAGGTTCATTGTGCTGCCACAGTGTCAATCCATCTTATTGGCAGGATCTTCCTTTCTTTCTCTGACCCTCCATCTTTCCCAGCATGATGTCTCTTTTCAAAGGACTAGTTCTTCCTGACAACATGCCCAAAGTTTGTGAGATGAAGTTTCCCCATTCTTGCCTCTTAGGAGCACCTTAGTTGCTCTTCTACCAAGACTGACTTGTCCTTTTGCCAGTACTCTTATCTAACACTACAGTTCTAAGGCATCCATTCTTCTGGCATCCTTAGTGATAGAAAAATTGGCTAACAACGTCAAAGTGACACTGAGATGACAAAGCTGACATTGAGAGAATGGTCCATTTAATCCATATTGGAGGATCTCTAAAATGATATAGGTATGAATGGATGAAAAAACCAGAAGTCCAATAGTTGTAGACTTTAGCCAGACCTCCAAGCAAGATATTCAATATCAATGAGCCTCGCTTTTTCTATTGTTGGAAAAGGCATGAGGATAGCTGTGTGAAGATTAAGTGAATAGGTAGATGAATGTGAGCAGGGTTTTAAAACTGTAAACCTCTTTAAACAGAAAGTGTCAAATGAGGCCATATATGTTAAAGAAGTGTGCCATTAAGTGACTGACAGCTCTGAGGAATGGGATCAATCAAACCCTCACAAAAAGAGAGCAGGTTAAATGGCAGAAGTAACGGTTTTGAACAGATGAAGTAAAGGGGTGAAAGGTGATTACAAGCCAGCCAGCCAGCTGAACTAAGCAAAGCATGAAAATAGGAATCAGCATACCATAAATAAAAGATTTGTGGTGGGGAAGAATAAGAAATAGAATTAGGTATATGTATGTTTGGGGAAAGGGCAGCCCATAAGGTAGGGTTTTAAAAGATAATTTTTAAAATTGTAACCCTTTGTTTTGCTACTCTGGCAGGTTCACCCCATCATCGCTAGTGGGCACTGTTCCAAGACAACCTCCAATTCTCTACTTTCAGATGTTACTTGCCCTCTGAGGGAGCAAAGAACCAGTGGAGCCCATGATGGAGAAGCTTCATATTGGGTTGCATCTCAGGATCAAGAAGACAAAGATTCTTACCACTGGACCAATAGGCAACAGCATGATAGAGGGAGAAAAGATTAAAACTGTCAACAATTTCATGTGACTTGGATCCACAATCAACACACTTGGTGTTAGCAGAGGAAATTAGGAGACTTATTACACTGGGAAAGTCTGCAGTTTGGACCTCTCCAAATTATTGAGGTATGATGATATACGTCTGAAGACTAAGGTGCATCTGATTCAGGCCATGGTCTTTCTAATCACTTGCTATGCATCTGAGAGCTGGACAATGAATAAGGATGATAGAAGAATTGATACCTTTGAGTTGCAATAGTGGGATTGCTGGGTCAAATGGTATATCTATTTCCAACTTTTTGAGAAAATACCAGGCCACCTTCCCCAGTGGTCTTACCATTTTACCTTCCCACCAGCAGTGAAGAAGCATTCCAATGTTTTCACAACCTTCCTATCATTTGTTGTTTGTCGTCCTGTTGAATTTTGCTATTGTTGTTGATAGATTGAAACATTTTTGAGTAAGTGATCTTATGGTTAAGTAGAACTCTAACAAATCTTTCCACTAAATAATTGAAAGTAAGCTGTGCAATGATATAACACCTTCTAACTATTCACTCCCAACAACTTGTTACCCAAAGATCTTAGAATCCATTGATTATGTTGTTGCTGTTGTTTGATGCCCTCAAGTTGATTACGACTCATAGTGACCCTATGGACAGCAGCTCTGAAGCCTGCCCTCTGAGCCAGTCCTACTGATTCAGACACAACTACCCCCATTACCCAAGTTACTGTGTCAGTCTATGTCATTGAGGGTCTTCTTCTCCTGCGCTGTCCCTCCACCCTTCCTAGATGATATCCTACAAAGACCAGTCCCTCCTGGCCATGTGACCAAAGTATGTGAGATTGAGCTTCAAAATCATAGCCTCCAAAGAGAAATTTTATTTCACCCTCTCCAAGACAGACCTATTTGTTTTCTTGGCAATCCATGGTATGTTCAAGACTCTTCTCCAGCACCATAACTCAAAGGCATCAATTCGTTATCTGTCATTCTTAGTCATTGTCTAGCTCTCTGATGCATACATAGCAAGTAACTGCAAAGACGATGGCCTGGATCAGGCACACCTTAGTCTCTAGACTGACATCGTAACTACTCTGTACTCTGATGAGGTCTCTGACAGCAGATATTCCCAGTGCAATTTGTCTTTTGATTTCCTGACTGCTTGTGGCAAGAGTGTTGATTGTGGATATGAGCAAGCTGTAAGTGTTAACAACCTAAATCTCTTCTCTATCACAGTGCTGCCAATCAGTCCAGTGGTGAGGATCTTTATTTTCTTGATGCTGAGATTTAATCCATATTGAAGACTACAGTCCTTAACTTTCTGTAGTAAGTGCTTCTGATCCTCCTCACTTTCAGCAAGCAAGGTTGTGTCATCTGCATAATGCAGGTTCCTCCAATCCTGATGCCACATTCCTCCTCATAACCTCCCAAATGATCTATTCTGCATATAAAGTGAAAAGATTTGAAGACAAAACACATTCCTGACACACTACTCCTTTCCTGATTTTGAACCATACAGTGTTTACTTGCTCTTTTCTGACAAATGCTTCCTGGTCCGAGTATAGGTTTCACATGAGCACATCAAGTGTTCTGGGATTCCCATTTTTCTCAAGGTTAGACACAATTTGTTGTGATCCACACTGTCAAATGTCTTTGCATAGTCCATCAAATACAGACAGACATTCCTCTGATACTTATTGCTTTCAGTTAAGGTCCATCTGACATTAGCACTAATGTCTCTAGTGACACAACCTCTTCGAAACCCAGCTTTCATTTCTGGTAGTTCACTATGTTCCAGTTGTTTCTGGATTCTCTTCAGTAGGATTTTGCTTGTGTATGTTATTAATTTTATTGTTCAATAATTCCCACACTCTGTCGGGTCACCTTTTTTTAAAAAAAAAATGGGAGCAAGGAAGCACTGCACGGTTCAAAATTGGGAAGGGCGTATGCCAGGGATGTGTCCTGTCTCCATACCTTTTCAACCTGTATGCAGAACAGATTATCCAGGAGGCTGCCGATCTATCAACAATCTGCGTTATGCAGATGATACAACCCTGCTTGCTGAAACTGAAGAGGACCTGAAGTGCTTGCTGCAGAGGGTCAAGGCCTTCAATAAGGATTTAGGCTCAATA